AGATACGAAATAATATTATAATCTGCTCATCTGCTGCAGTAGCGACACCAATACTATAGGCACAACATTGAATATAATAATATGACTATCAAAATATTATTATAGTAATATTATAGTAAACGGTGATGGGGGCGGAACAACGGGCGTCGTCCGTCATTAATAGCGGTAACCGCGCATTTCAACTTCTTAAAGGTCCCTTCTGAACAGTTTCCCATATTTTATAACATGACGCGTTCGCCGGTGGCAGCGACTGCACCGCCACTGCTTTATTATTGTGTAGTAATATACGTAGGTGCGGTGCCGAACAGTGCAGGCGAGGTGGGTGCGGCAGTATATCCGTCCGTTCGTCTTCGTTCTATTTTTGTCCACCGGCTCATCCGAGGATCGTCCGAATATTTTCATCGGCGGTGTGCGCGCMGCGTCGTCATATTATTATTATTATAATTAAAATATCGTATTAATTTTTCACGTGAAATAATAAAGTAAAACCGACGTTATAAAAAAATATACATCAAACGATAGGTCCGCCCGCCGCACCACGCCGTGCAAACCTGTAGAGCCGCAAAAACCACAGGGTCAATCAATCCCCTTTAAAAGCCTCATTAATGCGAACTTGGGGCCTCATGCTACCAAGAAAATTTTGTGCTATGATTTAACTGATCGTGAGAAAATTTCATTTTAACATTTATTTATTTTATTTTTTACAATTTTATTTAGTAATATAATATTGAGAACTGCAGATATCATAACTTTTGAATTTCATTGTGCTCCGCGAACATTTATTTCAAATGTTCTTCTACGTGTGTCTCGTTTTCGTAAGAATCCAGCACCTAGTAATGCAAACACAATATATGGTATAATAGCCATACAGAGTCATCTATATCTGGAGCCTTTACCTATATAGAATTCTAGTTGCGACGCCGGATGTGTCAGTGGTGGTGTGTTTCACACATTTTTATGATTACACATGGATTAATATAGGTAACCATTGCGTTATGGATTATACGACTTAAACAATATTATGGTAGTCGAATTTGTGGTAGTACATCTCGTGATACCAATGATACCATATCAGAACAACTCAAGTATAGTTGTAGGTCTAAAGCTAAAAGTTGTCATTGTGACGTCAGTCTATGAATAATAAGCGTGTATATATATAGGTACGAATAATTTACTTCTGAAAAATACCGCGAAACAAACTATTGGCTTCAAAAATCTTCAAATCGTAGAAATTGAAAACCACATAATCTCCATTACGCATACCCTTCTCCCTCACTCTGACATATTACACAAAAATATGTCTATTTATCATTGTTGTCGGCGTTTTAGGGATTAATATAATATATTACATTAGTTTTGATGTATTACCTCGGAACGGTGGTTGCTGCGGGACCGGTTGTCCGACGTCTGCCGTTTTTGCGAGTTGTTGCTACAACTCCTCTTCCTGTTGCCGGTGAACATCATCGTGATGTCGGCGTGTTGTATTCTCATTCTGCGACTACCGACGGTTTTCCGGCCCTCATCAGCTGCGAACCGATGTGCCCGCCCGGCGTCTCTATTTTGTATTTTAGCGCACGCGGTCGACCACCTGCGCCACGTAATGTATATAGGCAGGTACCTAAAACGTTTCTAACTTCTCTCCGGTACCTTTCCGGTCTACCTATAATAATATTTGGTATTAATAAATTAATATTACGATGCTAAAATCAATTTAAAAAAAAAAATGTCAGTTATTATTACTTAAAGGTATCCAAACGATATAAGCGATATRTTATTGAAGTAGCGCGTGCCCAAGTCGATGAGACCGCGTCTGTTTATAGGTCACGATTTTAAATCTATGGCTGATTATTTTCGGTCCCGCAATGTCTATGGGGTGGGTGGATGGACGTGGAAGGGACCAGCGGATTTTTTTATTTTAAAATGTGATTATTATTATTACGCGGACCGCCGACGACGGTGGATTTTTATAACTAGCGAACTGTGCAGTTTAATAGACTATTAAAATTAATTATATTCRATTACGTAGTAGTAGGTACCTACGTCCTTTTGCTGGCCGACTATTATAATGTTAATTATTGTTGTTGTTGTGGTCAGTTGTGGTTACACATTATGCACAGCACGATTATAACAACAATAGGAATATTATAAAATAATTACGAAAAACGAGACACGCGTGCACAACGACGGCGGCGGCGACGACGACGACGTCAGCCGTGTGGTGGTCGGTCGCGCGCGTTTTAAAAATAGAAATTCTCGGATGAACCGCGGTCGCATCATGACTGGAGTGCGCGCCGGCCGAATTTCGCGCCCGTTGTTTTGACTGCGACACCGATGGCTACTTCGCCTGCCCCTCCCCCGTCCCTTTGGCACCCCCACCTTGTGGTGTGACCCGATGGAAGACATGATGGCATGATGCATGCCGGCGACAGCTTGCAGCGTTACCCGCGTATACACTACACGCTATACRTCCACGCGTGGCCCCTTTTTTTTTCTTCACAATATCGTTTCAAGTAATCAAGCGCAAAGCATAATATTCTTGACGTGTAGTGTTATTACTTATTATAATATGTGTACAATTGTACAGGTATAATGAAATAATGTAATTCTACCAGTAAGTACTCCCATGTATCGTCCATAACGGTTACATAGGGTCGATGCCATAAGTTCGTAGAATATGCGTGCAAGTATATTATTAAGTACATATAAGTGTTTTTTTACGTAAGTACAATAACAATATGAAATAGTACAAATTAAAAATATTTGTAACAATATATGATATATTTATAAACCAGTTCGACAATAATGTTATGAGTGCGATTATGACTGATCGTCTTTTTTTGTCCTGTATTCGTAACGGCCAACGAGTTGAATTCCAATTTCAACACTGATAAATATTACACCATACAACTGTGTATAATATCGTTATGAAACCAAACAGATGAACAATATAGGTAAGTACACATAGCAGGTATACCACAGTAGACTATTTAAAAATGAATAACATTTTTACAATAATTGAAATATTCGTAAATTCAAATATATAATATCCTAGGCCTTAAACAGAATTTACAAATAAACGGCGTTTAGATAGACAATTAAACATACACAATAGTAGTAAATTAATTTTAACTTTTAATTATAACATTTATAAAAAATATGATATTAATTTGATTATTTTGTTATACTAGTCATACTAGTATATAAGGTCACGATGATAAGGAAAGTGGCTAATTAATTTTGTTCTTAAAAAAATAATTTACTCGCCAATAAACTCACTAAATATAACTATCCTATTTGTTCGTCCCATTTTGAGGTAAAGTATTTTATTAATGATGAATGAACGAGATTGCTTGAATAAGAATCTATTCTGTACATCATATTCATAGTATCGAGAGCAATATGCCAARATATATATGTTATCTATCTAAATTTTATTATATAATGATCAATAAAATATTTGTTCTAATGTTTTAGGTAAAAATTTATCCAGATAGCTACTAAACCATTAACCAGGTGCCAATGATGTTAAAACTTGTACTTCAAGTATTTCTGTGATAAGCACTCAACCCAATAATACATTAGTGAAATCAATTTATAATAATTAATAATCATCATTATAGTATATGTCCATGAAGATCAATAATAATATTCAGGTTGATGGAAAAATTCCATTTGATATGCAGTCACAATGTTCAACGACTGTACATTTTATTCAACAGTTAAGGTAAATAATGTATTTCATTTAAAATCTAACTAAATTAATAATTATAATGATTAATTTTAAAAAATCTAGTCATTCTACATACAGACTAAATCCCATATTTTTAAAACATAGGATTTTTTCCTCCTTATTAAGTGAATTAAAAACTGAATCAAAAAAATTAAATTTTTTCAATTTAACTGTTAGATTGCAACATAAAAAAGTATTTCTCTATGCCCCATAAATGACTTAAAAGGATACTACACCTTCAAATATTGTCTATCACACAAATGTAACAAATAAAATTGTAAAATGTATGTTCTGAGTATCCATTTAACCATGTTGTTTGTTATTTGAGTGAATTAACATATTAATAATCAATTTTCTATTAATAATATTATCGATAGTGATTCTCAATATTCTCATAGGTTTTTTTTTGTTTTAATTTTAAAGAGTTCTGCCCATAACCTCACTTTAAAATTAAAAGAATTATAATATGTACTATTCAGAATGTATATTTTGTTATGTTATTCTTTTGGAAGACGGAAACAGCTCATGTGAAAGTAACATACTCTCAAATTAGCTTTTTAGCCAACTTTTGAGATACACATCATCAAGCAGCTCTTTTCAAACTTGGCAGAACTCATTAAAAATTAAAGCAACTAGTTACAACTTTAAAATTTGGAAAAGTGTGTTCCTGACTAATAAACAAATGTCATATAATTTGAACAAAATCAATATTTAAATCTGAATCTGCACTTGTAAAGTACATTTTATATCATATTAAAAGAGTAAGAGTTGATTAATAAAGTAACAAGCTAATTAAAATTATCATATGTCATTAAACTTATTCCTACCATAAAATTGGATAGGTTAGGTTACTCTTATGGTAAGAATGTGGTGAGCCTATATTATGATGATCACCATTTCAAACATCAATTTACAAAAATAATATGAATTATTCATAAGATTTAGTACCATATTACATTTTATAGACATAATCTGATACTTTTATTGTACAACTAAGAAGTAATTTCGACAGTTATTTTATAAAAATTAACATTATTAATTAATTAATCTTTTTAAAAATAGCTTATTAAAAATTTAAAAAAATCATAACCAATTAATTTTGATTAAAATTAAGATTATAAATGTTATAACATTATTGTTTTTAATTTGTTGATATTTTATAAGGCTTCCTAAATTTTACTTTTCAATTTCTTACACATTATAAAATACTCAATGTATGCGATTTGATTTATATAAGAGTATGATGTACTTACTTTAACAACATTCTTTAGTCATTAATCAAGTTAATTGAATATAAATAACTATTACAAATATTTTTTCAATCATACCAATATGTTCATTTTAATTAAGCCATGTTAACCGAGTTAGGACAGTTTGTCAGCTGAATAATCTTTTATTTTATTAATATTAATAGCTTCAGCAATAATAGCCATACCTTATTAAATATATAATTGGTATGTTTGATAAATACATAATAAACCAAATATAATGTTAAATATAAACATTACTTTTTATTTTGACATCTAGATGACTAGAGCTTTATACTCTATCCAAAATAAGAATGCATCTCTATATAGTATCGGAATGAAACGCAAGACGATGGTCCAGAACTCCAGCTATAGCTGAGTATAATGGCCCTGTGATTGGTGGCTATTTATCGGCAGTCAACAACAACACAATTGCCGCAAAGCATACAGGGCCTGTGGTCCTGCATGCATGCGCGAATTTCGACCGGTTACCATCTGTCGCCTGGTGCTTTCTTATTATGGATAGAGTAAATATAAAATGTATTTTAATCAACAAAAGTCAAAAAATATGTACAAAATCTATGTTGAACTTGATTTACACTAGTAAAATACATTTTATACCACATTAAACAACTGATTTAAAGTTTCAACTAATTGAAACTTGAGCAAACAAAACAAAAAATAAATAATATCATTTAAGTCATTAACAATGTTTTTAGTGTATTTTTTTTCTGGTATACGAGAAATTGATGATTGCTTATAAATGAATTATTCTTAAATATAATTTTATAAATACAACACATTATATTTTGTGGAAAAAACTGAAATACAATATTTTTCACCATAAATATAATTTATATTGACATTTATGATAAAAAATATTATCAGCATATTAAACAAGTGTACCCTCTAATGAATCATCATCTTTACTAGTAGTTGCATCTCTTTTTCTATCTGCTTCTTTATGTCTTTCTACACGCGTCAATAATACATGTATAAATTCATCAATACTTTTTGCAGGTCCAAGAATAAGAAATACTTTAATTGAATCTTCTTCAAATGCAGTGAGCCTAACACTTTTTTCAGTAACTTTTTCAACTTTCATGTCCGCCCAGATCTAATGAAATAAATAATAAAAAATAAATAATCATAATACATAACAATTTTAATTAATTATATATATTACTTTAGTATTCAAAATAACTTTAAGGTTTCCATTGTTTCGCATAACTACTCTTGATGACTGCCCTCCGTCCATATCATTTACACGTAATTGTCCACGTCCTTTTTCCACCCAGTTAGATTTAGCATTATCATACACATATAATTTACATATATTTAGCTGGAATACGTTGACATCATTTTCTTCTCCAGTCATACAATCAACTTCATCATATTTTCGTTTAGTTGCACGTGATTCTTCGTATTCTTTAGCAGCTTCCACTAACCTTCTTTTAGATTCTTCTACAGTTTCATCTAGTCTGCCATTCTAAAAATAAAAATATAATAGTTCAAATAGTATACAATTAAAAATATTTATATAATAATTATACTTCTTCAGGTTCTTCATTTTTAAGATTGCCAAATGAAGGGGAAATAACATTTGAAGATGATGAAACTTCAGCTTCTTGAGTATCGTTAGGTTTTTTATCATCTTCGGAAGTTGAATCAGCTTCTTTATTTAATTCTACACGTTCATGAAGATTTTGACCAAATATAAAACCACTAGCTAATGAAATTTCATCAGGTTTTTGTGTGCGACTTTTGGTAATAACAGCACCAAACACAGCTGGCGGTGATGGAATAGGCACCTCTTTTTTAGTCTGTGTTTCTTCTGTTTCTGTATCTTTTTGATTGGAAGAACTTGAAGATTTTGCTATATTTTATGAAATAATGAAATACTCATTAATATATAACATTATCTAAAATTTGTTTATCAATACTCAAAATTTATTAGCTGTCTAATGTTAAAATTTGTCTATAATCTTTATAATTATGTTATTTTGGTAAAATCTAAAAGAAAATGTATAATAGGAACTGGGAAGCAAAAGAAATTCAGCAGTTATCTACAACTCTAGATTAATATTATTGACAAAATAATTTTAAAATTTATATTATAATTCAAAAAAAGGTTAGAACATTGATAATGTTCTCAATTATAAATTTAAGAAAAGATTAATTATTTTTATTATTGACCTAGTACCAACCTGTTTTAAAAAAGTAAATTTCTTATACCACTTATTATATTTTTTATGCATCTATTTGACATGGTCATATAGATATATATATAAACTAATTGAGTCATTTTGACGCCATTTAAACATTTACTTAGAAGTATATTATTAAACTAAACTACAATTTAGAAATTTGAGCGGAATATGAATAACCAAACATCCCAACCAGCAATCAGCAATGAATCTGTCAAAAAAATTGGATAAAGTTGATTGGTTTTAGTAAGGAAAAGGAAGATGCAACAGCCTAATGTAAATGTAAACTCTGTGATACCAAAAAACGTGACTGCTGGTTCTTCCAACCATGAACACTGTGGATTGGATAAAAAAGACCTGCATTTGGAAATCTAACAATTTTGGCAGGCATCACCAGATATTGAAATTACCAAACAGGCAGTAACTAATTTATAATTAAACTATATATTAAATTAGATTAAGATTTTATTGGTTTGTTGTTCCTATTTTTCTTTTTGAGTCATACTAAAATAAATAAATAATTTACCAAATCTATCATTTAAAAATAATGACCAACTTACAAGTGGATGTGGATGTGCTTAAACTTAATCTAGATGGATTTAAACAGAAAGACTTAGAAGTAGGTCTTGGAGTATCCGGTTTTCTTTGACCTATCTCAAAAGAAAATGATGATGAAGATGGCAATAATGACGGGCGTAAGAACATTGGACTGCTTGTCTGGCTGTCTACAAAATAGTAAAAATAATAATTATATAAACATTTAAAATTGTAAACATTTTTATTTTAATTCACTAAGTAGTAACAAAAAATTTAAAACAATAATATAAAATATATTTGAAATACTTAAGTATTATATGTTAGGTTATCATTATTTAAATAATAATTATAAGTCAATTGTTTTTAAAATCTTACATAAAAGTACTGACTTAGTTATATTGTTTGAAAAATAGGTTATAATATATTATACATTAAACTTATGCAAAACCAATTTTTTGTTTTTAATTATGTTATTTTTTGTATGGAAATTATGAAAAAAACAAAGTTTATGATTTAAGTTTTTAGTATAGCATAAAAAATAATGTTAGGGAGAAGAATACATCTACGAGGAAACCTAATAATAGAGCATGTTTGTATATTTGGAAAATATCATAAGTATGGGATATGGATGGTCGAAGTAAAAATGAAATAAATAAACAATTGTGTCAAGCTTAAATAGCATATTAAAATAGAAATTAGGAAGTTTTACTTCAAGAAATATTAGTCTACATGTTAGAAAAAAAAATCCAAAAACTTATTTTGGGAGTTTTACACTTTATATAACAATGAAATGCAAGAAAGAACACCAAAAATAAATTTAGTTTTTTAAATATAGCTAGCCACTGGCGTTACAGAATAAAGTTCAGGATATGTTAAGCTGATATTATGGAGAATAACAAATAAATAGGTATTGGGAATAATATCTGAGTAAAGAGCTCTATGGAAAAGAATCAATAAAATAAAGATATTGACATAAACATAAATATAGTGTTTTGCTTGAATATAGGGTATTATTATTATTATATTATTTATTTTTATTATTAATATAATATTTATTAATATTATATTATTATAAATAATCATAGGGTAGTCAAGGGTATTTACAAAGTAAAAATTATATAGGAAGCCTATAGGCTACAATTAGAATATAAGAAATAGTGATTAGTGATGAAATGATTTCTAAGGCATCCAATAAGGGTGCATGGATAATCACTATAAACCAGGATTGACAAAGATGATTAATAAGTGTGTACCTATATATTTTATAATTTATTATAATTTTGGTTATATTAAACAAAATTCATTGTCATTTTTCAATAAATAAATAATTTCATCAATGATGTAAGTTATCTATTTACTTAATATTTAAATGAGTTMAACAATCATACCTAATAGGCACTATAATAAACAAAAGAAAGAACTTATTCAATATTTTGTTCAATAGTTTATATTTTTACCTGATTTTTGTTGATATCTTGGTATTGATGAAGAAGGCTTAACCACTCTTTCTGGTGTATCATGATCATTTGTTAATAGGTTTTCTGAAATATTTACAATTTAAATAATTATTAGTTATATATTTTTTACATAGCCCTAAGCCTCAAATATAGTTACAGCATATAAACAAATACAAAATCTAAACAAACAYATTTTTTTTTTTTACTTTATTAATAAATACACAATGGGCACAATAAGAGTATGAGCTAATGACAATGACAATGTAATGACATTTTAAATGAAGAAGCCACCCACCGATGACACTTACGTCTTTAATTATTGTGTTTTAACTTTAATATTATTATTATTATTATACAAACATATTAAATATTAATAAATAAATTGAATACCTATGTTATTATTAATTCAAATAATTGATATACCTACATAAAATATATTTTAATTACCATTTAAAAACAATTGTGTAGGTAGAACTACTACTTTTACGTAATTTATAATTTATCTTAACAATTACAATATTAAGTACCCATTTAACATTAAGTAGGTACCTCTAATATTGATAAGACGTACATTAAATACAATCATTTTAATCACTAGTGCACATAACAAAATAGTCACATATATTGTTATTTGAACAAAAATGTTAATTAGGTAAAATAATAAACTTTTTTAAATCCATATTTTATTTGGATGAAATTGCTTCTTTTATATTGTACTAATACCTAATTAATAATTTTCAAAATAAAGTTCTTTTTTTAGATTTTAAATAACTAGTTTGATTAACATCACAGAGGTAATAAATTTAGTTTCTCTAGAATCTAAAGTTAAAAGGTTATGTCTTAAAACAAATATGTATTAAAATATTATTTCAGGAATACATAAGTTAAGTGAATAAATAAAAATTATTATAAGCTTATATACCTATTAATTATTTAAAATAATTAAAAAACTGTTTCACTATCTAAAATTAAGAATTATGCTATTAAAAAGTTATACCATTTTACAACAAATTAATTAAAACTTACTAGATATGGTCATAGATAGACCATAAAAATAGGGCTTTTAGAAATAATACATTAATATAATTGAGTAAAGAGAAAATATTTTGATAAAAATACTTATAAGATAAAAATAAATCATAATGACCTGGACATGTTATATTAATTTTATTTTTCACGATATAAATGTATAGAAAACTTTTTATTGTTTCTACTAGACAGAACGAATATACCTATTAGGTTAGAAGCCAAACATCAAATTTAAATAATCAATAATTTTAGGCATACTTTTTCAATAAAACAGAAGTACAATGTATGACTATGTCACTAATTCTATAATACATAATAGAGATCAATTTGTTAAATATTTAAATTGTTTGGTGCAGTCACTTACCTTTAACTTCTACTTGTTCAGTCATGTTTTTGTGAGCTAACCAATTATAAAATATATCGGGAATCTCCAAGTTTTTAACCTACAATTTAAAAAGATAAAAAAAATAAACTATAAAATAGGTACATGATTCTAGATTTTTTATAGTAATTTAACTAATTGAATCAAATTCAAAATGAGGATACTACAGTTCTAATTAATAAACAGACAATCACTAAAAGAACAAGAGTACCTATTAGCCAACAAAATATTGTGTATACAAATTACAAATTGTATATTTGTATAATGAAAGTTTTATCAAAGCACAAGTGTGACCGATGGTCCTCGACAAAAACGTTAAAGAACAGCTGATTAATTTAATGTAATATTTACAAATTAAATAATAAACATCAAAAAATTAAGTTTCGATTAAAACCGCGATATTTTTCTAACGAAAAATACAATTCATATTTTACCAAYTATGCTAGAAAAACTGAGTATCAATAACATTTTGGTAAAGCAAAATAATGTAAAAGATTTAGGAAGACGCTTGGACGCGTACAGCGGACGTTAATCGCTTATAGATTATTACTTAATAGATTATGGAATATGGAATTATACATAGATCAGAGACGCTAAAAAAAAAACCCGGAATTGATGATCGCCGACAAGAACAGTGCCACCATATTTGTTATAACAGAATATTATACATTAATTTTGAGTAATAATATTGTTTGTAAATACAATCCAACGTCAAATAATCATAGCACAGAATATAAATATTCATAATTAATAAAAATCATAAACACTAATAAAGTAGTGTAATAAACCAACTTTTGTTAATTTAATAGGTCTATGAGTACAAATTCTAAAATATGTACAATATTAATAATAATTATAATATCGTTATTCGGTTATCGTGATGATGACAGGCTGGGCAAATAATGTTTCTAAAATTTTCGTGGTCTAGACAGTCAGTCAGTGCTTACCAAACGTTTTTCGGACAGCTGCAGGTTGGTCACACTCAACAGCCGGTCCCCTGACCCTACCACTTCCTCATCATCATAATTACCCTATTGCACCACTTGCGAACATAACGCATAACGTCGCCCCTTTGCCTGTGGTCGACACGAGCGCTGGCTACAGTGATTGTCATTTACTCATTTCCGTGAAACCGCGTTGAGCTACCGCTTGCATTCTGTATCTGTTAGCACATCTAGAAAATTCCTGAGGCGTCATCACAAAAAATTTTCAGAATTCCAGTTTCTCGACGGTTCTCAAGGTGTCTACTTAAGGTGAGCTTTACTCAATCGATRAAAATAACATATTTATACGAAAAAAAACACTCTTAGATTTTTGATTGAACGTTCTCGTGTTAGCCAGATAAGCCATTGGTAGAATGAAAATGTTGGGTAGTGTTATTTCATCGTTACCAAAGTTTGTACTGAATCTAATGGAAATCAATTTCATTTATTATCATAGTGTTTCATGCAGACTGACTCGGAATGCGCTCCATTAAGTTACGTACGCTCTCGTACCGGCCTCCATGCCGGTGCACGAGAAGCCGCACCACGTTCTTATTCTTTATCAGATACCATACTAATTTTAATAGGTAAAGAACATTGTGCAACCTTCCTTAAACGTTAGTGTTATAATAGTCCTTACCAAATTCATATTTCTATTGGGTATGTTGTGACGAATGATACGATCTTAATTTTTTGATGAATTGAGGTTAGAATTTTTATGTTCACTTAGACAATTTGTGAATTTCGCCGTTTTTAATTTATACCTGATTGTTGTCAACTCCACTTGAATTCAATTATACAACTTAATGGAAACATATTAATAAATATTAATTATTACTTAYATATTTTACTTATTTCTCTTATGCAATAAACAATAATTGTAGTAATAGTTATTCAATTTCACAAAATAATTTTTGTTTTTTGTTCATTACTTTTTTCACATTTTAGCTTGGTACTTAACGTTAATAAATACTCGTGTGTTTCATATAATATATCATGTCCTCATTTAACTGCATTGTCAGTTTTTTTTATTAGGTACTTACAAATTATTTACTACCAARGTTTTATGAATCATTCATAGACTTTTTACCTATTTCTATAATTTAAAAAAAGTAAATAATTAAAACCCATTGAGTAGGTACTTGCAGTCATATTCTCATGAAACTAAAATATTTGAAATTCATCCTCACATTATTAAAATCTAGGAAAAATTAAATTCACATAACTAATAAATAAATAAAATAGTGTGTGGTAATAGACCTATATTAATAACATTGTACTAGAACATACTACCTCTGTACCTATATTTTGTATTTGTGTTATCAAATTTGAATGATGATAATATACCAACTGATTTTTTTTTGATTTTTCGTATGTGAATT